GCACCAGTTCTGCCATTCTTTGCTGTGTGACCCTGGGCAAATTACTGCATCTCTCTGAGCTTCACTTCCTTCCCTACAAACTAGGTTCCCAGGAATCAAATACATTCCCTCCCTTCTTCCCTATCTGTGCATGCAGCCAGTCTTTCCATGTCTAAAAGGGCACCCCTGACTTCTCTGCTTCCTTTCCTCTGGATCCTCTATCATCATCCAAGATCACCCCAGCAGAACACAAGTACCTCGAGGTCATGAAGCTTTAACCTGTTTTCTAGGGGGCCGAGTTGCTAGCACCTATGACCTAGGACAGGGCCTGGCACGCAGCTGGTGTTCAGTGGCTGGATGTGCAGGGCAAACACACATCCGTTGACTCCAGGGCACTACTGACCAAAAAAGGAAGCAAAACACTCACTTGCAGACAATCTGTCATTGAACACCGGAGAGTCCCTGGGGCCTGGATAGGAGCTCAGACATTATATGGCAGCCTCGGCCCCCAGCCCACTAGCTGCCAGCTCACATGTGCTCCTTGAAGGTGGGGGGGGGGGACACAATCCTTTGTAAACTCATAAAGGGCAGCTAGCTATGGTCACTTTTGCTCTGTGAGGCAGCGTGAGGCTCATAAACCTCGTCTCTTACAGTTTTATAGGGCTTGGCTTGAGTGTGCGGGAGAATGCCAGGCGTAGCACAGTCAGAGTTCCTGAGTATCAAGCCAGCGAGGGCAGAGGACTCCTCACAACCCAATCTGCCGGGCAATCTGCCAGACTTTCCTGGATGGCCACTGGGTTACTGGACTTCACAGCATCAGGGATCATGGTCTTCTCCATGTCATAGATGAGGCTGTTAGAGACAAGAGAGGGCCAGAGCCTGCCTGAGGTCACACAACAGGTCCAGGGAAAAGTCAGCAAGGGACCTGGGCTCGCTGGCTCCCCAGGTCACTGTCTCCCCTCTGATAGCCTTGGATTCATGGGCAGAGAGAGGATGGGGAGCCGCCTTCCAGGTCAGAAGGGACTCCCAACTCCCCGCTGCCAGCACATGGTACGGCCCCTGAGGGTTTTGAATGGTGTTTATTGAACACTTACTATATACTACTCATCATACTAATCTCTTCATATAGATGTCCATTTTGTAGATGAGGAAACAGGGCCAGAGGATAGCTTGCCCAGCATTAAAAGTAGGTATTGGAAATCTCCTAACTACAAGTCCCATTTAAATCTCAGGTGCCTTCACTGACCCCCTGCCTGTGGCCCTCCAAAGAATACAAAAAGCCCCAAGACAGGGGAGGTATACTGAGGAGGAGCAGGACCCAAGAAACCTGAGCCCAGCCTGGGAGGAAGTGAGGGTCGAGATTGCCACCTGGTGGTGCTGTGCACAAACCTCCGCCATTGAGCCTGGGAAGCTCTTGCTGGTTCTGACCTTGGGACACCTGGTCTGGGTGCCCTGAGAGAGAAGCCCGGACCATGTGCCAAGATTTCTCTGAGTTATACTCTCAGCTGTCTTCCCAGGACACCTTGGTCTGATTCCCCCTACTTAAGAATTGCTCCCTACCACTGCCCATCTCCCTTCCTACCTGGACCTGCTGTCCAAACACACCCTTCACTGCCTCATCTCTGGGTCTTTGCACATGCTGTTTCCTGTGTCTGAAATATCCTCCCCTCTCCTTGTGCACCAAACTCTTACTAATGCTTCAGAGCCCAACTCAGACATCACCTCCCTGGGCCTTCGTGCAGAGCATGTCTATTGCATTTCCTGTATTCATCTGTTTGTTACAGAAACCCTCTGGGCGAGGGTGTCTATTTCCCATCCCATCGGACTCCTCTCCCGCACACACAGCCAATGCTAAAATAAAAGAGTGTGGACTGTAATCCCTGCGGCTCGGAAGGCTGAGTCAGGAGGATCGCCAGTTCAAAGCCAGCCTCAGCAATTTTGCAAGGCCCTAAGCAAACTCAGTGAGACCCTGTCTCTAAATAAAATATAAATACTGGCTCTGATATTAGCAAGGGATGTGGCTCAGTGGTTAAGCACCCCTGGGTCCAATCCCCGGTACCAAGAAAAAAAAGGTGGGGCTGAGGAACGAATTCCCAGGCTGAGATGTTCTGGTCCGACCCCCCCAACCCCGGCTGGGGCTGCACTTACAGAGCACCGCCAGAAGAGGGCAGCACCAGCCAATGGCCAATGCCTCCCGCTTGGCTCAGGCGCCAGGAGCAGTTTGAGTCCCCTGAGCCCCTGTTTTGCTGGGTGACCTTGGGCTTGGGGGGGGGGTGGTTCCAGCAGTCACTCGAATCCAGACTAGCCCGCCTGGCGGGCGCCATACCCTGGAGATGACCAGGCCCCCGGACAGCCACCACTTGGAAAACTGCCATTTCCTGCCTTTGAGGAAGCAGTGACTCCCCGGGGTCTGCAGGGAGCCTGGCGGGGCGTGGGGACTGGGAACCTGCGGGGCCTCCAGACGCCCACAGCCATCCAGGCAGGCCCAGAGGACTTACTCGCAGGACTCCCCCTTCCGTTCCCCACCGCACATACGTGCTGCAGCACCCTGCTTTTCAGATGGGGAAACAGGCTCAGAGAGGGTGACCCAGTCAGTCCCTGGGGATCACCAGCCTGTTCCCAGCGACAGGGGGAATGGATCAAGCTGCTGGCTGGTTGGGGGGGGAGGGGGGTCTCAGGAGGGACTCTGAATAAGGACCAGGGAGGTTTGACCATGACATCAGATCTCCCCACTAGAGCAGCCTTCCTGCCCAGGTGGGGGGATGGCTACCTGGGGTGCTCCCCGCAGACGCCCTGATCACACAGTGAGAAGCTACTAAAGGGCTCACCTCTGCTCCAGTGATATTTAGGTGGCATCTTTCACCCCAATACTGGCTCTGATAGTAGCAATAAGAACTGGCCCAACAAGTGCCTCTGGTGCCAGGCTCTGTGCCCACAGTGGCCACAGAAGCCCTGAGAGTTAGTCCTGCTGGTGGGTCCCACTGCACACAGTCATGCCCCCTCCTAGACTTAGCCACCTCATCCCCTTAGGTGCTAGACGCCACCACCTCCTGCCTGGTTCCTCCCTGCTGTCCCCCTCACCCCCAACAGTTTTTCCTCCTCACATCAGCCAGAGGCATCTGCTGCCGATCAGACCTCTCCTCTGCTGAAGACCCTCCATGGCTCCCTGTTGCTCAAAGAAAAAACGCAACCTCGTCAGCCCTCTGCCATCTGGCTCGCTTGTCTCTTTGACGAACCCCTAGGTTCCTAGCCCTTGCTCACTCTGGCTCCAAACACACCCTTCACTGCCTCATCTCTGGGTCTTTGCACATGCTGTTTCCTGTGCCTGAAATATCCTCCCCTCTCCTTGTGCACCAAACTCCTACTAATGCTTCTGAGCCCGACTCAGAATCACCTCCCCGGGCCCTCTTGCATGCTCACCTCAGGGCCTCTGTATTGGTTGTTCCTCTGTCTGGAAGCCTCTCCTCCCAGGTCCACGTTCGAAGACACCTGAGCAGCCTCCACCTCCTCGTTCAGCTCTTGGCTCAAATGCTGCCACCACCTCCTCAGAGTCCTCCCCTGACCACCCTCAGTTCATTCTGCATTTATTTGTTTTCTTTCCTTTGTCTCCCTTGCCAAGACTTAGATCCTTAAGGACAACAGCTGTGTCTTCTTCAATGCTATTTCCCCAGCTCCGGAGCAGCCTGGCACACCAGGGCTCTGAGCTCAGTAACTAGTCCTTGGATTTGTGCATCTAGACCATGCTCTTCCGGGCCCTGGGAGTAGGAAGGACAGAGACCAGCCAGGAGCCTGACCCCATCACCTCCACCTCTATTCCCACCACACCATGCCAGGACAGAGAAGCCACCCTGACACTATGCCAAATAATCCCTATCACGCCCACCTGCTGCAATGCCACTATTCTAAATAGGGTAAAATATTTTCTCCCCTGCTTGAGCCTGTGGAAGCCCTCAGCTTTAACCATATTGATTCATTTAGTCATTCTTTTTCCTTTTTTTGGGGGGGTGGGCACTGTTTTGTTTTTAATTCTGGGGATTAAATCAAGGAATACTCTACTGCTGAACTACATCCCTGGATCTTTTTTGGGAGGTGGGTAATGGGGATTAAACACAGGGTCACTCAACCACTGACTGAGCCACATCCCCAGCCCTATTTTGTATTTTATTTAGAGACAGGGTCTCCCTGAGTTACTTAGCTGATGTTTCTGTCTCAGCCTCCCAAGCCGCTGGGATTACAGGCGTGCGCCACTGTGCCAGGCTCTCTGGATCTTTTGTTTGTTTGTTTTTAATATTTATTTTTTAGTTTTAGGTGGACACAATATCTTTATTTTTATTTTTATGTGGTATTGAGGATCGAACCCAGTGCCCCGCGCGTGCCAGGCGGGTGCGCTACCACTTGAGCCACATCCCCAGCCCCTCTCTGGATCTTTTTTAAAAAATTATTATTTTATTTTGAGACAGGGTCTCCTAAACTGCCCGGGTTAACCTTGAACTTGCCATCCTCCTGCCCCCGCCTCCCAGCCTCATTCATTTTCGCAATAACCTATTTTACATGTGAGGAAACAGGCCCAGAGAGATTAAGCGACTGGCACAAAGTCACAGAGCCAGCAGATTGTAACCACCAGAATGAGAACCCAGGCAGCCAGCCTGGCCTCAGGGTTCATCCTCTCATCATCACCATTTGGTGGGATCCTGTACAGAGTACACTCGAGACACCTGCCCTGGGCACCTCAGTGCTCTCTGCCATGCGGCATCTCTCACCACCCCGCCCAGTGACATCCTCCTTCTCCTCCCAAAGAAGCTTTGAGGGCTCCTTACTGCTCAGGGAGTAACATCTGGAACTCTCCACCTTCAAGGTTTTGCACAGCTGGCCTGAATCTGCTCTGGGCTGCACCCGGGGGTGCTCCACTGGGGTCACTCCTACAGAGATGCCCTCCCCACCCTTCTCACTCTCGGAGGCTCAACTTGGACATTGCCTCCCTGCCCCTTCCGGTTGCACACCCCCCAAAGGTCCAAGCTCACTTCACAGAGATGGAGAATTCCCCAGGGGAGCTCTCACTCTCCCGGATCAGGAAGGCTCCCAGATGGTTCCGCTTCATCAGAATCTCCTCCGCCAGCTGCCGCGAAATCCTGCCCGAGTACCACCTGTGGAGAAAGGGGCTGGTGAAGGCAGTGGGCAGGCCAGGTCCCCCCACACACACACACTGCACGATGTTGAGGTGTTCAATGTCACCAATCCTCAAGACAGTCCTAAGATGTGGGAGATGGGGTTGTTCCCATTTCACAGATAGGGAAACCGAGGCCCAGAGCCACAAAGCCAGTTGAAGCAGGCAGGAGCTGGGATACCACCCCAGTGCCTTGGCACCTGAATCTCACCAACCTTTCCTACAGGTATATATGCACCCAGATGAGAAAAAAAAATTAAATTCCCATGAACCATAAGCACCAATGTCAGCCTAACTTCTGTTTTAGATAGTAGATGATTTGGGTGGGGGAAAGGGCTCTACTACACTGTCCCCCAGGCCTAGAGATTTTTTTTTGGTGGGGGAGGGTACTGGAGATGAACCCAGGGGCACTCTACCACTGAGCCAAATCCCTAGACCTATTTACTTATTTTTGTATTTATCTAAGTTTTGAGATAGGGTCCCGCTAAGTTGCCCAGGCTGGCCTTAAATTTGCGATCTTTCTGTTCCAGTCTCCTGAGTCTGTGGGATTACAGGCGTGCGCCACCATGCCCGGTGATGATGGATTCAAGTAAGTAAACCAAGAGTATAGAGAAGGTGTCTCATAAATGCCTAGTCTCTTGAAGATCCCCAGGGAAACTGGAATCCAACTTCTCTTTCAGTTCCCCCCAAGACGGTTCCAGGCAGCCGTGCCCCCCCCCACACACTTTATTATTATTATTATTAATACTGGGGATTGAACCCAGAGATGCTTTACTACTGATCCACATCCCCAGCCCATTTTATTTTTTATTTTGAGACAGGGTCTCGCCAAGTTGCTTAGGGGCCTCCCTAAATTGCTGAGGCTGGCCTCAAACCTGCAATCCTCCTGCCTCGGCCTCCCAGATGACTGGGATAACAGGCGTGCACCACTCACCCAGCCTCCCCTGCCTTCTTTGCGAGTCTCACCCACTGGTATAGACTGACAACTTGCATTCCCCACCTTTCATATACTAAAATCCATTCCTCAATGAGATGGAATTTAAAAGTAGAGCCATTGGGAGGTGAAGAGGTGCCCACATGAGTAGGATTATGTCTGCCTGATTTGAATATGTCTCCACAAAATTCAAGTGTTGGAAACAGCCTCCAACACAGCAGTGCTGAGACTTGGGACAACCAGGAGGAGACTGGGTCATGAAGGATCTGCCCTCATTAATAGAGTAATCCACTCATGGATCAGTGGATTATTGAGGAAGTGGCTTGGTTATAAAAGTGATTGCTTTCAAGCTCACTTGCTCTGTGATGCCCTCTGCCTTGTTAAGAAGCCCCCCACCAAATGCCAAGTGGATGCTAGCTAGCACCACGCTCTTGGACTTCACAGCTTCCATGAGCTAAATAAACCCCTGTGCTTTATAAATTACCCAGAGTCGGGTATTCTGTTATAGCAACAAAAAATGGACGAAGGGGGAAGAATAAAGACCCCAGAGAGCTCATTTGTCCCTTCACAACATAACGACGACATGGCTACCAGATGGCCATCTATGAACCAGGAAATGGCCCTCACCGGACACTGAACCTGCCAGCCCTGATCTTAGACTTCCCAGTCCCCAGAACAGTGAGAAATAAACATCTGTTGTTTATCAGCCACCCAGTCTGGTCTTCCCATACAGCAGCCCAATCAAAGACACCTAGCACAGGGAGGCTAGAGGGTCCCCACTGGCTTCCTGACTCCTGGACCTTAGCCCAGCCTTAGCTCTGACCCCTTTGTTGTTCACATGGGGAAACTGGGGTCCAGATCAGCTGGAGATCTCATGGTGGGACCACGATAGGCCAGGGCAGGGTCCAGAGCCTGTGTCCCCTCGTGTTTCTCTTCCCTCCTTCCATGAGGACTTCCTGAGCCTCTTCCCTCCTTCCATGAGGACTTCCTGAGCCAGGGCGCATTTGGCATGGGTGGAGATGCAAGGTGTGACTTTTCCTGCCGTCTCCAGATGTTGAGGCCTCAAAGATGAGAGCAGAGGACAGGAGGGCTGCCAGGGTACTCTGTGTCCTGCCTGTGTCCCTGCTCTTGCCTCGACTCAGTGAAGGCTGCCGGGCACGTGCCCGGGCTTTTGTCTGTCAGGAGCAAAGTTGGCCTGCCATGTGCAGGGCAGGCTGAGGCCCTGGAACATTCTCAAGTGATGACGATCTGGAGCAGGGAGGTGGACACCCAGCTCCCTGCCCCTGGGTGTGCGTGGGGGGGGTGTGTGACTCCTAGGAGCATGTTCTACGCATCTCCCTGACGTCCACAAGGGGATGGGATTCCAGCTGCCCAGCAGCAAGGGGCTCCTTCCCGTCCCTGTCTGCATCCCTGCTCCTCACGTGGCCTCCCAGGGGCTACTTGTAGGGGAGCCCACACCTCCAGATATGAGCTTCTAGGTCACTGCTGTCCCCCTACTGGCGGGAAACCCGGAGGCTGGAGTCTGCCTGCCATCCCCTGCCTGGGCAAGTCTTAGAGGATGGGGAAGTGGCGGGCCCAAGGTCAGGGTGACCAGGGAGGGGAGGTGCCATAGCCCCTCCTCCAACCGTGGCTGGATGGGAGTTTCCCAGGGGGACAGATGTCTCTGAAGAACCCTCAAAACCCCCACAGGAGACGTCAGGGCGTAGGCGGCCATGGCCCTCAGAGGGTGTCACACCCCAGGGAGGCCCCACACCCCCTGCCAGCCCTGCCCCCCACCGTGGCAGCTTAAAGGAAGGAGTTCAAGGGCCCCCGAGCCCAGCTCCTCTCTCCACGCCAACACCACTCTCTTTCAACCACTTGGTGTTGTCCCCCACACCTTTTTTTTTTTTTAAATGAATTTTTTAGTTGTAGGTGAACACAATTTTTTTTAAATAAATTTTTTTTTTTAGTTGTAGGTGGACACCTTTATTTATTTCTATGTGGTGCTGAGGATGGAACCCAGTGCCTCACGCATGCTAGGCAAGCGCTCTGCCACCGAGCCACCACCCCAGCCCTTGTCCCCCTTTCATCGATGTGGAAACCGAGGCTCAGAGAGATGCCCCTCCCAGAGGCTGCCCCACAAGTTCACGTCTGGAACTTTCCCCAGCCCTGCAGCTGCTCTGACAAGCTTTCCCAGCCCTCCTCCTGGCCGGCCCCACCCTGGTCCCATACCACCCCATCTGCAATTCTACTGTGTGACTTTATACAAGTCACTCAACTTTTCCGTGCTTCTGTCTCCCGGCCTGTGAGACCATTTTGATAGTACTCACCTCCTTTTGGCCTGGGAGGATAAATGGCGGCTGCCCGCAGGTGCTTGCTGCCACGACGGGTGACGAAGTAGTTCATGCCCCTCCTCCCACACACCCTTCAGCTCTCCCTGCCCCCACTGGCCACTCAGCCAGGTCAGGGGCCTCCCTGACCTATGTGGCCGGCTCTGGGAGCATTTGGGTCTGCATCATGGTCTCCTGGGGGGAGGTGGGGGTGACACTGGGTGCTCAGGGAAGGAGGGGACCTGGCACAGGCACAAGGCCTTCCGGGTCCCCTCCTTCCCCACGAAGGCCATCATGGCTGACTCAGGGACAGAGCTAGAGTGTTTCCAGAACTATCTGGGGACCAAGCAGGTGCTCAGGTTAGCCAGGCTGAGACTAGCCCTGGGCCTCCGGGGCCTGACCCCAGCCCGGCTCTGTCCCAGGCACAAGTAGCCTGAACTGACCCCAGGGGAGGCTGGAACCCTCCGTGGTGCCTCAGCATCACGTGGTGCCTTCTGTCATCCTTTGTCCCTCACCTGAGCAAATGGAACCCTCTGCTCAGGCCTTCTCAGCAGCATGAGGCCCTTCCGCCTCCCAACTTGGCCAGGCCTTAGCCTCCACCTGAAGCCTGACACTTGGCCCAGGGCGCTCACTGGGCCCCTGTCCTTGTTTTTGGCTCCTCTGGCCCGGACTCAGGCCCTGGTGGAGTCCTCACCACCTCTCTCTCCTCACGCACCACCTGCCCCCTCCCTTGACTGGAGGCTGCACCTCCGCGGGGGAGGGAGGGAGGCCGGGAATGCCTATAGCTGGGGGCGGAGTGACTGGGGACCTGGGCGGGTTGGGGCTGGGCCCCCGCAAAGGAAATGGAGGTGGTGGCAGCTTTGGAAAAATAACTCAAAAGAAGATAAAGAGGAAATACCCCTGGGGCTCCACCCTGGCCCTGCACCTCCTTTGTCTTCCACCCCCAGCTACACGTCAGAGCTCCCCAACTGTCCCACCAGCCTCGCCACCTCAGTCACTTCTGACTGCATTCTTCCTTCCTTGAATACCTCCGTGACTCTCTGCTACCTGGCCTGGCGTTTGAGGGCCTCCTGCCCGACCCACACATTATGGATCCTCCCTCGTCGCTCTCCCTGGGCTACCCCTGACCTTTTCCCAAGGGTGGGTGCTTTTTCTAGGTAACCAACTCCTACCCATCCTTCAAAATCCCACTCACTGCCACCTCTCCTGAGAAGCGTTGCCTGTTTAGTCACCCTCTCATGTGCTATGTCCTTCATGTCCTGTGTCTCCCATGAAGCAGGGCTCTTCTGACCTCTATGTCTCCAGGAGCTAGGGCCATGTCTGCCGAATGACTGTTACTTAAACCATTTCCACTTGTTATTTATTTATTTTTTTTCCAGAGATTTCTAAACTCCCTGGGCTGTTCTGGGCTGGACTCTGCCCCAAGTATCCTAAGGGCAGCGATGTTGGGTGCTACCTGCTGAGAACCTGACCTAGGACTTCCCAGGGGCCAGTAGGTGCCAGGCACCGGGATACCTAGGGCCCAGACACAACTCCCACTCTGCCCAGGCCCCAGACTCTGCTCAGCCAGTGTCCACTTCCCCTCAGGATGTCCAATGCCTTTCCTGGCAGAGCAGGCCCGGCCAGGCCAGCTGGGCAGCGACACACAGGCTCAAGGTCAGGGGTTGAGGCTACTCACGGGTGGGGCTTGACCCGGATGTAGTTCTTGGGGATGAAACCCTCAGCACCCCGGAGCTCAGCCTTGTACCAGTTCTGGTCGTCTTCCATGTTCAGGATCTGCAAGCAGGACAGACACAGCCACTCAGTCACTGAGAAGAAATAGCTGTCACCTTCGACTTGCAAGGCTCCAGGTGGGCTTCATCTGGATCATCCTCTGAGCCCATTTACAGAGGAGGGCAGGGGGCCCTGCTCAAGGTCACCCAGGTTGAGTTAGAACCAGCCTTTTGACAGCTGGGTCCCATCTTCAGGAGCTTTTGTGGGACAGTTGGAAACTCAGATGTTTGGGGTTGAAAGTTTTGAGTGGCTGGAGATGGACTCACAGGCTCTGCAACCAGATCTGAGGTCTTGGGAGCAGATCTAGGGCTCCTCAGATCCTGAGCTGTGTCCCCTAGCACGGGGTCTTACCCGTGTGCCCACCATGCAGGGCACCTTGGGGTGAAGGTTGGAGGTCCCCAGGAAGATCAGGGAGCCCCCACCTGAGCTCAGAAATGAGTGGCTACCCAAGGGGGACTGACATGTCAAACGCTCTACAGTTCAAGTTCAGGGGCAAGAACCGGGAGGGACAGGCACTGCGACACAAATGAACAAGGTTTGTGTGCTGCACAAGCTGGTTGCTGGGTCCCACGGGCTCCTTTTCAGGCCCGAGAAGCCTCCTTTGCCTCACAGGTGGGCAGAGAGGAACTGAAACCACCAGAGTGGGGGTGGCGAGTTGCTGTGGGTGAACAACCAAGGAACAGAGGGGAGGAGCAGGTCTGGGCCTAGGAGGGTGACCACATGAAATTGGGGTTCCTGCCTACATTTCCTAGGCACAATTTCCATGGGTCACTCCAATTCCCAAGCAACCTTCACCTAAAATGCTATTTTATGGATGAGCCCAGAAAGGGAAGTAATTCAGCCAAGGCCACGCAGCAGGGGATAGGCAGAACCTCTATGGTCAGCCTGTGGCTTTGGGTTCTGTTGGTCTAGGGGGACTCCGGCCTACAAATATTTTTGGTTTTGTTTTTGTTCTTTTAATAGTTTTTAGTTGCCAATGGACCTTTATTTTATTTATTTATATACGGTGCTGAGAATCTAACCCAGTGCCTCACACATGCTAGGCAATCACTCTACCACTGAGCCATAACCCCAGCCCCTGGCCTACCAGTTTTTTACCCCCACTCTACCTCCCACTTTGTCTCTGGACAAAGGGTACAACTTTCCTGTCATTTCTGGAGCAGGCTTCAAACACTGGGTACATATTCTCCTCTTTTATTTTAGTATCATTCCTTATTCTTACATTCCCATTATCATAACTTTTACTAATTTACATGAAAATCATTTGCACTCACACTATGTAGACATTTTTTGTCTTTTCTGCTTTCACAGTTAGCCTTATTCCTTCACTGGATACAAAATTATCATCTCCAATTGACACTGAATAACCATTCAAACCTTTAATCTTGTTCTTAGGTGTTTGTTTGAGAAACAGAAACTGTACCAGGGAGCTCTACCACTGAGCTACATCCCCAGCCTTTTTTGGGGGGTGGGGGGGGGGGGGGCGGGGCCCGGGATTGAACTCAGGGGCACTGAACCATGAGCCACATCCCCAGCCCTATTTTGTATTTTATTTAGAGATAGGGTCTCGCTGAGTTGCTTAATGCCTTGCCGTGGCTGAGACAGGATTTGAACTCACGATCCTCCTGCCTCAGCCTCCTGAGCTGCTGGGATTATAGGTGTGTGCCACCAGGCCCGGCATCCCCAGCCTTTTTATTTTTTATTTTGAGACAGGGTCTCCCTGAGTTGCTGAGGTTGACCTTGAACCTGTGCTCCTCCTGCCTCAGTCTCCTGAATACCTGGGATTACAGATATACCCCCACACCTGACTTACTCTTTGATTTAAATTTTAAACTAAATTACTTCTCAATAATATTTATACCAGTATCGTTTTTTAAAAAATATATATATTTTTGGTTGTAGTTGGACACAATACCTTTATTTTATTTATTTATTTTTATGTGGTGCTGAGGATGGAACCCAGGGCCTTGCACGTGCTAGGTGAGCACTCTACCACTGAGCCACAATCCCAGCCCCCCCAGTATCACTTTTTATCACATGACCTATTAGAGAATTTTCTCTAGGATGTATGCACTCAGATCCCAATATAAGTCAACTTATATTCCTTATCACTATGCAAATTCTGGTCACAGCCAACAATTTATTTCAACTCCTCGTTAGCCAAGAAGAAGTAGGTATGACATGATTCTTATTAATTGTATGATGATTGGGTCAATCAGATGCAAAACAAAGGCTCTTCAAGTATCTTATATAATTGAATTGGGGATATTGGATTTGTTCTACTAGTAATATACATTTAACACATGAGAGTTTCAACAAATACTGATTTTTCCATTTCTTTCCTATGGTCCCGGGAATTGAACCTAGGGTCTGTGCATGCTGAGCAAGGGCTCTACCACTGAGCCACCCCAGCTCTCCACAAATATCAGAACCAATTTTAGACCTGATCTCTTTCTCTTTGTTAGACTGGAAAAATCAGCTCAGTTTGGTCTCCACCCGTGACTACCGTCAGCCATGGAAGGACCTACACCAGTATCAGCTCTTCTACATTCAAATACAATAGCAGGGACTTCTCTACGAATCCACTTCTAATCATACACCCAAGGGCAGCCAGGCCAATGCAAGGGTCCTAACTTAGTGAAATTCTGCCAGGTGGAGCTGGGATTCATTCCCTCAGCTCAGGCCTGAGGCCTGTCGGGCCACCAAGCCAGGGTGAGCCCTTCCTTCCTGCCCTGGGGTTGAACAAGGTGGCAGCCCCAGAGACAGACGGAAGCAGGTGGCTGGCTCAGGAAAACTTTCCCTCAAAGCAAAACAAAATGATTTCCCCAACCAAATGAGAAAATCAGGGCCTGTGCACCACTTGCCCCGACCCTGGCTTCTAAGAAAGGCGCCCTGGAGCCAGGAATTAGGGACCTATCTGCATCTCTATCTGCTTCTGACGCTCTCTGTAGCCATGGCCTGAGTTTCTTCTTCTGTTAAATGGCCACATTCATGGCCTTCGGTGGACATGGCAATCTCTCAGGGGCTACAACACCCTGCGTGGACACAGGAATGTCATAGGTCTAGGTCTTATGTTGTCTTGTTTTCCTGTCACCTCAGAGGACCCAGGAATGTTCTTATGGTGATGTGAGCTCAATTCTTTCTGCCAACATGGCTCTAAAGTTGGAGACGCGGGAATTCCCACAAGAGAGGGACTGGCTCCGCGCTAATGAAATACCACTGCCCAAGATGATTCAGGTTTTGACCTGCCCCGGCAGGGGCCTCCCGCCCAGGTGACCTTCCTTCCTCACTGTTCCCTGCCTCGTGGAGTTGACTCAACAGCTCTTTACTGAGCACCTATTGTGAACCTGGCGCTGTGCCGAGCCCTGGCGATGCAACAGGAACCAGGAGCTTGCGCTGTAGAGGGCAGAGGCAGACATCAATAAGGAAAGGAACGAGTAAACAGGTGGTTTAGTGTAGGGGTAAGTGCTCGATTGTGCACCGGGATGACACGTGTGGAAAACGTCGGGTGGAGGCAGGCAGAGTGTCAACAGCGGGCAGCTGTAGTGGTCAAGAAAAGCCTCTCTGGGGAGGTGACATGTGGACTGAGCCCTGAATTATAAGAAGGAAGCCAGTGAGTAGCCAGTGCAAAGGCCCTGAGGTGGGACCAGTTCTGGGCCTGGATTGAAAAGAGACCAGTAGGTCTAGAGTTGGGAGGGACAGGCTCTGAGTGCACTTTCCAGGTGAGTGGAAATGGAGGCCTGGACCAGAGGAGAGGGACTGAGGGTGCTGAGAAATGGTCAGAACTGCCAAGACTCAATGACAGGCTGTTGAGGAGCTGGTGCAGGAGCTCAGCCTGTGCCATCAGCCTTCTCCAAGAGGTAAAGAAGGCTGGGGGCTCCTGAGTCTGGGTCCCAAAGGCCAGGCTGTCCATGGAGAGAGGGAAGTGGAGCCACTGAGTCTCCCCCTCCAGCCAGAAGCAGTAGGGTCCTGTCCACCTAGAAATGCCTGACTTTTCAAAGAGGGAGGCCTTGTCCCAGGAAGTGACGTTCATGTGTCCAGAGGGAGTCCATCTGCCACTGAGGTTTCATCTAAAACCAAGGTTCCCATTGGAACAACCCCACTTCCTTGCAGGGCGCTGGAGTGGGGCTTGACTTGCACGGCTGGTGCTGCAGGAGCAGGGCCTGGCCCATGGGGGGGGGGGGGGGGGCTCAGGAGGCATTTGTTGGATCAGAGACCAGGACCCTTGCAGGAATTCGCAACCTCTCCCAGACCCCAGTGGGGGAAGGGCTAGCCACCAGCCACTCACTGTGGCCCTAGGCAAGAGAGACCCTAGGCTTTGCTGTGCCGGGTGAACAAAGCAGTAACATTAATAGGGCAAAATGGTTCTAGAAAAGTGGGCGGTAGTGTTGGACCCGGGTGCACACGGGTTATCCCAGTGGCTGGGGAGGCTGAGGCAGGAGGATCACGAGTTCAAACGCACCCTCAGCAACATAGAGACCTTAAACCAATCAGAGAGACCCTGTCTTTAAATAAAATATTAAAAAGGGGCTGGGGATGTGGCAGAGTAGTTAAGTACCTCTGGGTTCCATCCCTGGTACCAAAGAAAAAAAAAAAAAAAGTGGGTGATATACAAGAGGCAGGTGAGTTCTCTAGCATAATTTAAAAGGATGCCAAAAAAAACCCCAGGAATCAAGATAAATAATATTTTAAGGCAGTATGTTAAAAAATAAAAATGAACACAAAACTGTGTGTGGGCGTTAGTTAATAATAGTGTATCGGTATTAGTTCACTCCTGGTGAGAAAAGTACCATGATGCTCATGTAAGATGTTAATAAAGGGGAAAGCTGGATATTGGAACACGCATGTGGGAATCCCACTAGGCTTTTGTCTCCATTTTTCTGTAAATCTAATAAAAAATTTAATACAAAAATTCCATCAAAATCTTAAATAAAGGGCTGAGGATGTAGCTTAGTTGAAGAGCACTTGCCTCGCATGTGCAAGGCCCTGGGTTTCAACCCTAGCAAGGGTGGCAGGGAATGGGGGGGGGGGGGGGGGGGGGGGGGCGGGGGGGGGGGGAACTACACTTTAAAAAAAAAAAGATTTAAATAATGACGAAATTTGACCTTGTACTTGCACAGACCTGAGAGAATGAGATCCTCTGCCTCACCATAATCCTGGCCCCCTGGAGGGAATTCACTTTTCCCTTGGTGTCAGGGAGATCTGATTCTAGGACCCCAACTCCACTCCACAGATAGCCAACCATAGATGCCCAAGTGTCTTTGTATGAAATGTGTAGTATTTGCATATAACCTACACATATCCTCCCGAGAATACTTGAAATTGTTTCTAGATTGCTTACAATACCTAATAAAATGTAAATAGCTATTATAATGTACCCTTTAGAGGATGAAGAGGAAAAAGAGTTCTGCACATGTTTGGTATGGTAGCAAATTTTTTCCCCCAAATATTTTCCATTTGAGGTTGGTTGGATCCCCAGATACAGAACCTGTGGCTTTGGAGGACTAACTGTATTTGCTTATTGCAGAATATCCGTGGAATACAGAAAGAATAAAGAAGAAAATACAAAAGGCTCAGAAGCCACCTCTACAGGTTCACACCACTATGCCTGGATAATGTTTTTAAGGCTCTTTATATATTTCCCAGATGCCCTTCAAAATGATTGCACGACTTTACCCGTTCACCATCCACATGTGAAAGTACACATTTCCCCACAATCTCAACAACCTTAGAGACTCTTTTTAAAATTACATGTTGCTGGGGCTGGGGTTGTAGCTCAGTGGTAGAGCACTTGCTTAGGGCCTTACCAAGTTGCTGAGGCTGTCCTTGAATTTGTAATCCTCCTGCCTCAGCCTCCTGAGTTGCTGGGATTACATGCTGGACCGATGTAAGTTTTTAAATTCTTCGGAGCTACTTTCATTTCTCACCTGTCGTTGCAACAGGCCCTGACTCCTGCCCACCTCGGTGCCTCCCCACCTCAGCCTTATGCCCTCCTTCTTAGACACAGTCTTTTTTTTTTTTTCCCCAATTCTTCAAACATATTATTACAGCCCCTCCTCAGAGCCTCTGACCACTCTCTCCCCAGTCTGCTGTTCTCTCCCCCCGGCTTTTGCATGGCCAGTTCTTGCTCATCGTTTAGATTTCAACCGAGGTGTCACCTCTTTTAAGAAACTGCTCTGACCAGCCCACCTAAAGCGGCCTCTGTCCCTTCTCCTACCCACTATTACTCTACAGCCATCTCCCTGTATATACTCTCAGCACTCAGCTTGATGCCTTGTGGGTGCTCAACCACAGAGTGGGTGCTCAGTAGCTCAGGGTTTGTGAAATGCATGAAGGAAAAGACGGCTTCTCCCACTGCCTGTCACCCCTCCATCCCCCCTTGAGCCTGCATTACCCCAGTTACCACCTCTCTCTAAGGATACAAGTCCCCTGGTAGGGTTAATACCCAGTGTCAGCTAATGTCTTCCTCCTGCCTCTTCTTTCCGGTCCACATTTCCCATATCTTATTGGAAGCTTTCTGTGTGCCGGGTCCTGCTGCTCCAGCATGGGCCCTGCCCTCCTGGGGCTTACAGTCAGAGAAGGGAGAGAGACCAGGACCTCACTCCTTCCTTAGCAGAAACCCACCAGAATCCGGTAACACTTAGCGAAGGTGAGTGGGAAACCTGACTAATCTAGAGGTGGAGGGCACAGAAATCTGGGAGAGAAGGAAAGATGCCCCCAGTCTTTTCAGCAATTGCCTTGGGGGACCCCACTGATCTGCTCACATCCACCTCCAGTTAGTCCTTCTTGGTTGGGTGGGCCTCTTACTCCATTCCTTATCCTCGCCATCTCCCTCCTTCCCAAACCCCAAAATCTAGAAATCCCGTGCTGCTCTCAGGTGAATCGCGGAGGCCTCTGAACTAGATTTAGATCCTCACAAAAAGACATCAGTCATTTGTCATAAGTTTGTTGTTATTGTTGTTGGTGGTGGTGACGGTGGTACCAGGGATTGACCAGGTACCTGGTACCTGGTGGTACCAGGGATTGAACTCAGGGACGCTTAACCATTGAGCCCCATCCCCAGCCCTTTTGATATTTTATTTAGAGATAGGGTCTCGTTAAGTTGCTTAGGGCCTTGAACATCACCCAGGCTGATGTTCAGCCTGCCACCAGCCTCAGTGGGCCACATGTATACGGGCTAAGAGCCAGCAACTCAGGTGGACCGAGGTGCCAATATCCTAACGCAAAAAAAAAAAGGGTAATTCCTCAAGGGCATGTAACTCCTCTGGACCCCAACACTAACCTCCCCAGCTCCCAGCCCAGCCTGTGCCGTGTCTCAGGGGACTGGATGTGGGTTGCAGAGTCAAAGGGACATAGGTTCAAATCTGACCCGACACTGAGCACTTCCCGTGGCCTCAGTTCCACAAAATGAGGGTGCAAGTCCTCTACACCCCAATAGCTTAAAGGAGATATTGGTTACACTGCAGAGTGTGGGGGCCAGTAGCAAAAAGAGGTTTCCTGCCCCTTCTCATGCTTGAAGCTTGCAGCCAAGAACATGGCTAACGGGCCAGAATGGAGGGACATCCAATCTAATATCCACTGCTCCAGGCCCAGGAAAGGGCTCTAACTTCTTAGGATGAGTACTGACACTGGCAGCTCCAGTGTCCAAATCTTGGCATGAAATCTGGCTTCTGGGTTCTTGTTGTCAGATTCAAACAGATAAGCAAGAACATCCCCAGAGAGAGAGAGAGTCCACAGACCCATCTGTCATGACATCTTGAAGCCTACCATCTCCTTCAAAAGGAGCCCAAACAAAGAGAAATGAATTGAGGATGAGTCCATTTTCCCTTTTCTCCACACTGCTGGGAAGCTCATTCTTGACAGTGAAGTCAGCTATGTTAGCCCCACTGGGTGATCTTTCTTTCCTAACACCTCCTCTGGTGTGTGCACAGCACATGCGCTCTCTCGCTCTCTCACCCCCATTTTGTCTCTTCGTTTCTCTAGCCGATTCTCTTGTTCTCTCAACAATTCTTTCAAATTTCTTTTCCCTGGAGAACTAGGAGTTGAACCAACAACCCCTGACAGCCACTCTAATAACATCTCCTTGGATACTCACAACAGTCCCCCCAAAGGGGGACTCACTAACTATCTCCCCATTTCCTAGATGGGGAAATTGAGGCTCCAAGGGAGGCGGTAGCTTGTCCCGAATCACACGGTCCATAACTAGAGAAGCCAAACCTGTCCTCCAGAGACCTGACGGCGGGGGCTGTCCTGGGGACCCAGTGCCTCTAGCCCACCCCCCACCCCATGCAGGGCCACCTCAGCCTGGCTCCAGCCCACCACCGTACCTTGAGTGTGTCCCCCTTGTTGAAGGCCAGCTCATCGCTCTCCGTGGCCTGAAAACTGTACAGGGCCACGGACTCCATCCTGCTGTCCCCAGGCTCCGGCAGCTGGGCTCCGAGCAGGACCGGCAGCTTCCTGCTTCCTCTGCAGTCAAGGACTGTCTTCCTTTGTTTTGAGTGTGTGTTTGTTCTTTGAAGCCGAGACCGAAACTGCCCTTGATGGGGGAGAAACAGGAAGCAGAGACATGTCACCCGAGCAGGGAGAACGTGTGAGCCACCCAGTCACTGCCTCTAACCCCAGTGGCCAGGTGCAGCCCTGGAGGAATCCCCCTGCAGCCTGGAAATGGGGTACCTTTGTACCCACGTCACACATGATCAAACAAGATAAATCCCACAGATCCATCTTGCACTGTGTCTTGTCACCTCCCGTTTTCTAAAACCTTAGTCCCCCATGTTTCTCCGGCACCTGCCACATTAAGGCCAATCTCCTTATCTGACGTGCAAGCCACCTGTGAATCACAGCCACATGTAGCTTTCACACTCATCCTTTGGCCCCTGGGCTCCGGCCACAATAGGTGACATACCACACTTTTATTCCATTCTCCAGGCTTCTGCACACGCCACCCCCCTGCCTGCTGTTCCTCTCCTCTGTTCCCAGAGGACTCCTCCTATTCATCCATTAAAACCCAACTCAGGAGCTGGGGTGGTGGCTCAGGGGTAGAGCGCTTGCCCAGCCTGTGTGAGGCACTGGGTTCGATTCTCAGCACCACATAAATGAGCAAAATAAAGGCCCATCAACACCTAAAAAAAATATTTTAAATAAACAACAACAACTCAAAAGGAACCTCTTCTGCTTTAAACACTGGGCACTATCTGTGCTATGTATCTGTGCTTTGTAAGGTCAAAAAGAAGTGCAAATAAACTGAGTTCAGTGGCACATGCCTGTAATTCACAGCTCGGGAATCTGAGGCAGGAGGATTGTAAATTTGAATCAAGCCTAGGCAATTTAGTGATGCCCTGTTTCAAAAAAAAAAGAAAAAAGGTCTGGGAATGTCAATCAGTGGTGGTTCAATCCCTAGGGCTGCAGAAAGACTGTTTCTTAGGTGGGCATGATGGTGCCAGCCCAATTCCAGCAACTCCGGAGGCTGAGACAGGAGGATCACAAGTTCAAAGCCAAACTCAGTAACATAGTGAGATCTTGTCTCAAAATAAAAAATAAAGGGGCTGGGGATGTGGCTCAAGCGGTAGCGCGCTCTCTTGGCATGTGTGCGGCCCGGGTTCGATCCTCAGCACCACATACAAAGATGTTGTGTCCGCCGATAACTGAAAAAAAATAAATAAATAAATACTAAAAAAAATAAATAAATAAAAAATAAAAAGGGCAGAGGTTGTGGCTCAGTGGTAAAGCATCCCTGGATTAAATCCCCAGTACAAAAAAAAAAGAGAGAGAAGTTTCTTTCTTCCTTCACAAATATTGACATGGATTTAGGGCTTCATATTTTCATCAACTGATTATATAATTTATTATTATTATTATTTTGTGAACCCAGGGCCTTGTGCATGCAAGGCAAGCACTCTACCAGATGAGCTATAATCCCCAGCCCTATTATTTATTTTAATGTTCAAATTGTCCCTAATTCGGCCAATGGGATCCCTTCAAACTGACATGAACACATCCTGACTTTCTAACTATATTCCTTTTTTTTTTTTTTTTTTCAGTGCTGGGGATTGAAACCAGGACTTCATGCATATTAGGCAAGCACTTACCACAGAGCTACACCCCCAGGCCCTGAAATGAGTCAGTCTTTCTTTCTTTCTTTCTTTTTAAAATATTTATTCTTTTTAGTTGTAGTTGAACATAATACCTTTATTTATTTATTTTTATGTGGTGCTGAGGATCGAACCCAGGGCCCCACACATGCTAGGCAAGCGCTCTACCACTGAGCTCCAGCCCCAGCCCTGAAATGAGTTTTTCAATACATATTTTCTAGTAGACAGAGCATTTGTACATATCTATATTTACTTGTCAATGTAGATACGGATGGAAAATAAATTAAAAAACATGAACTCAATCAAATATGAATCAGCGACTGTCGTTGAAGGGTGAATGGGTGGTTTGTACCATTTCATAGCTTTTTCTGAAGTTTTGAATTTTTTTTTTCTATATAAAAAGTTGAGATTTGGTCTAGGGCTGGAGCTCAGAGCTAGAGTGCTTGCCTGGTGTGCATAGGGCACTGGGTTCCACCTCAGCACCACATAAAGTAAAATAAAGATATTGTGTCCACCTATAACTAAAAAGTAAATTTTTTTTTTTTAAAAGTTGAGATGTATGTAAAATAGTTATCCCAAAATACAAGGTTTGGGCTGGTGATGTGACTCAGGGTAGAGATCTTGCCGGGCATGCATGAGACCCTGGGTTCCCTCCCCATCACTTAAAAAAAAAAAAAAAAAAAAGTGAGATGTACTTTTAAAAATCATAGTTGAAGGGAAAGAAGAGAAGATAACAAGCCAATGAATGGCCGGCTCTGGAGGCCTCAGGCCCCTGACCCATCCCAGGACTCCATGCCACCTCTCTTCTAGCCCCTCCCTGCCTTCCGCCTGCCCCAGACCCAGAGGGAGGCAGGAAGTTCTAAGGCGCCTCTTTCCGCCTCAGTTTCAGCTGAGGTTTCAGTCTGAGAACCCAGCAGTCAGAGGGCTGGCGTCCACCCACCCTACCCTGTGCCTGAGGGAGGGCTTCCCCTTAGAAATCTGAGCTAGGGTCCCCTGGAGCATGTGAGCCAAACAGCTGTTTTATTTCTTGATTTAAAAAAATATATATATTTATTATGGGCCAAGTCCTTTACATGGGAAAGCAAAGAATACACATTCAAGGGAGAACGTGGCCATCTCGAGAGCAGGAGATGTGTTTTTAGAGATCCTGGCTCTTCTTTTATTTATTTATTTATTTTGGGTACCAGGGATTGAACCCAGGGGTGCTTAACCACTGAGTCACTCCCTCCGCCATTTTAATTTTTTTTTTTTTTTTAATTTTTTGAGACAGGGTCTTGCAAAGTTGCTTAGGTCCTTGCTAAGTTGCTGAGGCTGGCTTTGAACTTTCGATCCTCCTGCTTCAGCCTCCCGAGCTGCTGGGATTACCGGCAGGCACCACCCATGCCTGGCCTTCTGACTCTTAAAAAGATTGGTGAGGGGTGGGTGTGGGAAGGTAGATGGGGATGACATCAGTCTGGTGATCTCAAAGCAGTTTCTGGTAGTCTGGCTGTTTTTAGGATCCTAAATGTGGTCTCCATTATCTGATCAGTAGATGATACTGATAATACTGTAAAGTTCCCTAAATTATGATTTTTCTCAAAATATGATATCTCTCTGTGTTTAATCTATGGAGTGGTGGGCTAACAGTGTACAAACTAAGATTTACAGATTACCCAGAAATTGGAGAGTGACAGGCCTGGGAGAGAGACTGGCTTAGCGAGTAACAGGCGTCAAAACCTGCCCGCAGGAGAAAAATACCAGTGTTGGCCACAGTCATGCCATATCCCTGCAGAATTAGCCAACATCCTGGTGCTCAACCCTACCCCCCTGTAGGAGGCTGAAAAATGACCCCCAAGACATCTGCACCCTGATCCCTACTTCCTGTGACATTTCCTTTACATGACCAAAGGAACTTTGCTGATGTGATTCTGTTAAGGGTCTTGAGAGGGGAGATAATTTGGGACCCTAAATATAATCAGATGGGTGCTCATGAAATTGACAAGACTTGGACACAACTGGACATAAATTCCTTGAATAGCAAAGTGCTGAAGTTGTCTTTCAGGAAAAGCCTCCAGAATCCACTCAAGGATGGTTTGGAACCGGCTTTTCAAGAATGGACACGTGGCGGGCGCTGGGGATGTGGCTCAAGTGGTAGAGCGCTCACTTGGCATGCATGAGGCACTGGGTTCGATCCTCAGCACCACCTAAAAATAAGATATTGTGTCCACCTAAAACTAAAAAATAAATATTAAAAAAAGAAAGAATGGACACGTGGGGCTGGGGTTGTAGCTCAGAGCGCTTGCCTAGCATGCATGAGGCACTGCACTGCGTTCAATCCTCAACACCACATAAAAATAAATAAATAAAATAAACGCATTGTGTGTGTCCTTCTACAGCTAAAAGAAAGAAAGAAAGGGCATGTGCTAAAGAAGCCAGTTCATCCAGTCAGTGGCTTTTTGACATCACTGACTCAAAATCCCCTGTGCAACCTCAGGTAGAAGCACTAATCTTCAGGATACACAAAGAACTCAAAAATCTTTTTTTTTTTTTTTAATATTTATTTTTTTAGTTTTCGGCGGACACAACATCTTTGTTTGTATGTGGTGCTGAGGATCGAACCCGGGCCTCCCGCATGCCAGGCGAGCGCACTACCTCTTGAGCCACATCCCCAGCCCCCTCAAAAATCTTAACACCAGAAAAACAAATAACCCAATCAATAAATGGGCTAAGGAACTGAACAGACACTTCACAGAAGAAGAAATACAATCAATCAACAAATATATGAAAAAAAATGTTCAACATCTCTAGCAATTAGAGAAATGCAAATCAAAACTATTCTAAGATTTCATCTCACTCCAGTCAGAATGGCAATTATCAAGAATACAAGCGAGGCTGGGGCTGTAGCTCAGTGGCTGAGTGCTTGCCTAGCATGTGTGAAGCACTGGGTTCGATCCTCAGAACCACATAAAAATAAATAAAATAAAGTTATTGTGTCCATCTATAACTTTAAAAAATACAATAAAAAAAGAATACAAGCAACAATACATGTTGGCAAGGATGTGGGAGGAAAGGCACACTCATACATTACTGGTGGGACTGCAAATTGGTGCAACCACTATGGGAAGCAGTATTGAGATTATCAGAAAACTTGGAATGGAACACCAATTGACCCAACTATCTCAATTCTCGGTTTATACCCAATAGACTTAAAATCGTCATACCATAGTAATGTAGCCACATCAATGTTTATAGCAGCTCAATTCACCATAGCCAAACTAGATGCCCTTCAACAGATGAATGGATAAAGAAAATGTGGTATATACACAATAAAGTATTACTCAGCCTTAAAGAAGAATAAAATGATATCATTTACAGGCAAATGGGTGGAGCTGGAGAATAACATGCTAAGCAAAATAAGCCAATTCCCAAAAAAACGAAGGTCAAATATTTTCTCTGATATGTGGGTACTAATTCACAATAG